TTAAAAAGTCAGCATTTATTTATTTTATTAGCATGTTTTTTTGTAGCTGTCGGGTGTGGTTTGATTCTTAGTTTATCGTCTTGTGCATTTGCACTATCTAATGGACACTCGACTCTAGAGAATATAGACAATAAGAGTTAGAGTACTGACATATTTCTAGATTTTTCCATATATTGTAATAAACAGTCAGTTTGGTCAAGTTTAAGAGGATTTAACAGTCAAAAGGCAATATCTTACCCTTAAGTTGTTTGATGCTTCTTGGATCTTTGTTTTGTGGTTCAGAAGGTTACTTAAATCGAACTGGTTCTTATTGGAAGTTTTGTTAAGTCTCAGGCGCGTAGCCAGGGGGGATTTGGGGGACAAATCCCTCTTTTTCTTGAGAAATTTCTTCATTTTGCTTGAGTTTTTATGAAAAACTCGAAAAAATACCCCCTCCCCCCCATAAAAGTTTTCCATACAAAATAAATCCCCCCCCCCCTCTTCAAATTCCTGGCTACGAACCTGTTTTGTCTTCTGGATGGGATTTTGTTCCTCCTGGATCTTTATATTGAGAATGTGGACGTAAATTTGTGTGGATTGGCACGAAATATTATGGATCTAATATGATCTTGAATTTTAACTAACCTTACTGATCTATACGTCTAAGCTTTCTTCTACCTTAACTTTGTTTATGTAATTTTATGATACACTTAATTGTGGATAGTGAATTCAATTAGTTTACCCTGGATCATGTTTTTGGAACGTAGTTAAGACGAAAACTTTTTCTTTAGCAGGCATTCCTTGATTCACTAAGTTCTATAGTGTTCTGGTGTTATAGTTTCAAGGATATACTGTATAATATAGCAAACTAAATAAGAATCATGATCTGAAATGCTTTGAATTCAGTTTTAAATGTGTTAATCACATACCAATCCTAAAAAGCTAAGATCTAATCGTTTCAATCTTTAAATATAAAATTCTGTCAATATTTCATTTCAAATTAACCCTCACAACTCATAATTACCAGCACAAAAAGAACAAATCATTCAATTCAATGCTAAACGAGAACAAAATGCGCCTTTTCATCAAAACAATCCTATTAAAGCTCTCTTGATATTTATTTAAAAGCATATTTTTTCTTTATGAATAATACCACTTTTAGCCTCTCCTATACACAATAGCAGCAATGTTGCACAGATGAAATGAAAATTGAATTTCAAAAGGATCATTTGAGTACAAAAAAGAATGACATTATGAATGGGAACGAGAAATTTTTGTGGATATAAATTTGTATGTGGAAGAAGACGAATGGGGATAATAGGAGGGAAATATGACATTAAATCTCAGTTGGAATATTATTTATATTTTGTGTAATCCTATCAAAAGCACACCAACTGTGCTTTTTCATATTCCTTATTTTTATTATTTTCATTTCCCACTCATTCGTCTTATCTTAAATAATTTCTCTTTTCTATTTTCATATTCTCATTCAACTTTGATGAACACACAGCGCACAATTCATCATTTGAATTTAAATGATGATAAGAGAGTGTTGTGATTTCGGGTTGTAGAGTCAGCGGGTGGTTAATGCGCTCTTTTTTGGGGTTTGGCAATGTCTAGGAATAAGACATCCAGTAATGTGACTAGTCATAGAGAAGATTTTCAAACATTTATTAAATTTGACGTTCTTTTCAAATCCAAAATTTAATGATTTTTTAAAATTTAAATTTAACGGTTTTTAAGAATTCAAATTTATTGATTTTTCAAAATTTAAATTTTAACGGGTTTGAAAATGCAAGTTTTATTGATATTTAAAAATTCAAATGTTAACGGTTTTTTTTAAATTCAAGTTTGAACGGTTTTTAAAAATTCAAAATTTTAGGGTGTTAAAAGTTCAAAATTTTATGGTTTTTAATAATTCAAAATTATTCGAGTTAAAAATTCAAATTTTAACAAGTTTTTAAACATTTAAAAAATGTTTAAAGGTTTTTTAAAATATAAAAATTTTAACGGTTTTTAAAAATTCAAAAAATTTGTTTGAAGTTCAAAATTTACTTTTTTAAAAAATCAATTTTAACGGTTTATAAAAAATTCAAATTTTATGGGATTTTCTTTTTAAAATTTAAAAGGTTTTTAAATTCAATTTATAACGTTTTTTTTTAAAAAATAATAATTTGATTTTTAAGATGTTTTCAAAATTCAATAATGACAAACAGTTGCTAAGTTGAATCGAAAATTTCCACTAAAATTCGCTCTTAATATCATAAATGCTTTCTTCTTCTTCAATCTTCTCTTCTTATTTATTCAATCATTCTGAAAAAAACTTCTTGTTCATCAAAATCTCATTCTGAAGAAAAAGTTTCAAATTTAACAAACATAAAAGAATCTCATTCGTCTTTAAATTGAAATGATTTTCATCATTTTCTTCTTATTCTAATTCTACATTTATTGCACATAAAAGGGAATTTCATTACCGAAAAATGTACGCAATGAACATTTATTGCTTCACATTTTCGGGTCAGTTGTCATTGGAAATTTCAATTTTATCATATAGATATTTGTATTTTTGGAATAAGAATGGAACAAAGCACACAATTATCATTGAAATTCACAGCTGTTGGTACGGAAAATATGTACAAAAGATGGCATTTTGATGAACAGAGAGTTTCATGTAAAAATATTTAATATATTGTCATGGTGAATGTGATTCAATTTGATTGATATGCTTTGATGGAATCGCTTTGTATGGAATGTTTTTTGTGAAATTATTGAATTTTTTATTTCTAAGCTTTATGTAGAACATTTCATTTGTTTCATTTCTGTCTAGTATTTCAAATCAAATGTTGATCAAGTTAGGTCAATAGCCAATCAATTGCATGTTATGTTTGTGCAAAAAATGACAAAAAAATATTGGAGATACCGAGGATCGAACTCGGGGCCTTTTACATGCAAAGCAAACGCTCTACCGCTGAGCTATATCCCCAAATAATTGTATATCTTCGTTTTGGCTATCATATCCAGCGATGCTGTGTCTATAAATTTTATTTTTTTTTATTTGTGGATTATTAATTGTCATTAGAGCCTATTTTATAACGTCCCTCAATGTTTGAATGGCTACAAAACTACATACTTCTACACCCCTCTTCAGGGTTGCGATACAGGCACTCGTGCACAGGTGAGAACCGTACAATTCCTTGATAATTTGTGAGGTTTTTTTTGGGAGTCGTTCACATATGACGTCCGAATTTAACGGTCATTTTTCATAAAAGAACAATGGATTTCCAGGAATTTCTTCTCCCCCCCCCCCCCCCCCCTTGGACGTCATAAGTGAACGGCCTCTTAGAGTTTGTATGGTTTTGTTAGAAGAACCTTTTTTTAATTTATAAATTATCAAGAAATTGTACGGTGCACAGGAGCCTGTATCGCAACCCTAAATTTAAATACTCAATATTACTATTTTAGTCAATATGGTTAAAAAATTATCTCAAAACCCAAAAATAACTCCATTCATCTCATTACCTCCTTTTATCACGAAGAACAAACAAAACATATTTCAATTCAATGTAGCTAATATGCCAAATTATGAGCAAAAAGCCAAATATTATGAAAATTAATTGCCATAAATTTATCATACTGAGTAGAATATGGAATTAATCTCATACAATATTGAAATCATAAATGTGTGTAATATCAAGATAATGAACAATTTGTAACACATTTACAATAAATCATTTATAAGTAGATTAAATGTTGTCATTATTGGAATAAAATAGAAAATGAAATTGGTTCAATGAGCAGGTATGGCTGTGAATGTGAACTGAAAATATATTTACTGAATTTTGTGTGCTTCTAATTGTGGCAAACTTAGTTTTGAATATAAAGGAGTGGTAATGATCTTTTTGCAATGATTTTAAAAAGAGATTTTGATTTAAATCATTTTTCAAAGGGATTTTTTTTTCGGGATTTTGATTTAAATCTTTTGTAGGAAAGATTTTTTTTGGGATTTTAAAATCCCTGCTTATAAATTTTTTGTATGCAATTTCTCAAATTATTTTTCAGATCAACAGTTTTCAGTTGCAGTTCCTCATAATTAAGAATGCAGTTGATCCTTTTTCACCCCCTTCCCCCCTTGTTACAATATGTTACAACTCACACAACCCCCCCCCCCCCCCCGGAACGTTCATAATTTATTTTATTTTGATAATTTTTCATAGGTATTATGATTGTATTTTAAAGTCTTGTAAACCAGTTTTCTATTGATTTGTTACTTTATATAACAAAAACTATGTATTGCTTAGCTATCAAAAGTGATCTGGACAGGCACAAAAAAGGCAAAGACAAAAAAATTGGCTTATGTCTTTGATTTCAAATTGCCAACGCTTAGGTTCCCTTTTTTAAAGTCAAGTGCTAGGTATCAGTGGTATCAGTGTAAGCAGTTAAGTGCCTTGCTGGTCGAATAGGTAAGGCGCTTGGCTCAAATTTGGTATGGTAACTCGAAGGTCGTCGGTTCGAATCCAGCCATTTCCAAATTTGTTCTTTTTCAGAAGTTTAGATACTTCGACTGCTTAATGTACGAGTCAAGCCATAATTGGGCATTTTGGGCAACGTTGGATTAAGGAACGGATCAGGAACTTGAAGTGTAGCGGGAGAAATAGGAACGAGAGCTACAAGATTACCTTATAATGGAATATTGTCAGAATGGACCTGAAATGTATCACTTCACGCCCACAGAAGAATGAAACGAGAGCCTTAGTTTATTTGAAACCTAGATTTGAAGATTAGAAGCTTGATTCTACGTCACCCATAGTGATATGAAATGTATCACTAATCAATGTAAAAAGTAAAACATGTATAAATACTAATTCTTCCGGACGGTAACGTCGACAAATAAATAATAATATCAACACTGCCATGGGTTTTTGGTATCTAAGGTAAAATCAAACTACTATGTTCAGCGCTAAGCGCAAAGGAACCGTAGCAGCTTAAGCACTCATATATCAAAAACATGTGGCTGAGCATTGTTATAGCTTGTCGGAATCTTTTTGAATTCTTCTGTTGATTTCCTTTCGACTTTGATGTGCCACAAGAGCTCCATAAATACTTAGTGTAACCCCTACATCCGCTGTAAAGTGTCCAGATAATAAAAAATCTAAATAATCAATCTAACCCCATCTCCACAAATACTCAGCATGATGAAGAAAAAAATGTCTTAAAACCATAGGGAACATGACGAATATGACAATATTTTATGACCATCCAGACAGTAATAGCAATTTATCCAGACCAATCTTAAATTGATTGTCTCAGAACAAAAAAGAAAAAATCGATGGACATTCTCTGTCCTAATAAAAAGCAGCTTGTAGCAATAAAATGATTCAGTGTCATGAACCAAAAAAGAAAGAAAAAAAAATTGCTGACACATGTTATAAGTATATGCATGTAACTCACACTTAAAGCTCATAAAATACAACACTAGATAAATTTTAAGGAATCCTTGAAGAAATTTTATTTCTGCTGAGTTGTAAATATGACATATTGTATGCGAGCATGAATGATACAATGTATATGCATGGTGTGAAATGATGTTGACGACAACTATTCATAAATAGGTACGTAGAGAATAATAATAATGTTAACAAAAAAAAAGATTCCTCACACGACGCTTATCATTCTTTTATATGTGAAAATAGAGAGACAAGCAAAGCTACATGAAAATGAACGACAATTTTTACAGCACGTCAACATAAATTGTAATGCCTCTTGTACATGCGAATTGTACACACCAACATTTTGCAAAAAATTTATCTCACAGGCAATTTGTTACTTACTGTGAAATTTATATAGCACAAAACAAAAAAAAAACTTTCCAACACTTGAAACTTTGTCTGTGAACACATCCTGCTATGGAAATTTTTCGGGGTTGGATGAATGTAATTAGCATGTTTTTTGGAGAATTAATTTAAATCAGCTCTAATGCTTGTCGTGTTGTCATGTTTAGTTTTGGTTTTGTGAGGATTTTTGTTTGAGAATCAGTGAATTATGGAAGGATCTGGAAGAGTTTAAGTGTGTTCGGATGCTTCTGATTATGTGTCATAGCTGCATCCTAGGGGATCTTATCAAGAAGCTTCAAACAAAATCATCTTATGTGATCCTAATAATAATAATAATAATAATAATAATAATCTAAGAGGGTTTCAGCCAAGCGATGTATTACTCCTCGTTGCGACGAGTCGGAGGCACTGCGATCCTGATCGATGATAGAATCTATTGTACAATTTGTATGTGATCCTAACTTATGCTTGATTATATTAACTTTGTATGACTAAGCATAATAGATTTGTGAGGAATCGAACCTACATTGATTGAATAAGCTTTGACAAATTGAATCAGAAGTCAAATGGGAATAATTGTAGGTTTGGCTCTAACAGCATATGTAGAACTGATTATCCTGAACATGAGATTTGATTACAAAGCTGGCTTTACTATCAATTGTAATCCATAGCCTCCCTTAGTTGGTTCCTGAAAAAGATTCTGTCGCTGGCTACTCTGCTAGTCTGCAATACCAAATGCTATGCTGTTTTTGAGATTTGTTTAAAACTGGTTGAATGTGTTCATCTCGATGACTGATTGGCAGACATCATTAATTAAGTGTTGGAAGATTCTCTTTTTTAAGGACGAAGGTTCGATTCTCAAGGTACATGTAAGTTATCTTTAAATCTTAATCTTAACATTTTCTATTGTAACATTGACTCTAGATCCACATAGGAGTGTTGATGCTAACCATCTAATGAGGCATATAATCAATGACATTGTTTCATACGATTCTCATTTAAGATTAGCTAATAAGATGCTATAGCACTACACTAGTAGTTACCTACCTACTCCCTTGGCTGAGGAACCATTGAGTCCATTGCCACGCTTAGAGTACGTCTTTAGTCCATTCTATTTCATGCAAAATATCCAATATAACAATCAACATTCTCAAACATTATCAATATCTACTGTAAAACCAAATAAAATGTTCATTCTACTCAGCAAAAAAAAAAAAGGTTTCATCCAGACAGCAGCCAATTAAGAATTCATTCATTTAACAAAACAATCAAAATCACATTGCGCTGCATCACTGATTTACTCAACAGAATTATTCATACTATTTCGTGTACACTTTATACCAAATAATTTTCACATTTACAGTGAATACATCAAAAAATAAACTTTTTTTTTTGTTCTCTTCCGTATTCCGTAAAATTCTTGTGCTTTTTCATACTCACTTGAGACAAATGAATTATTTATGAATTTTAGACTGCTGCTAGTGTTGTTTCTGTTATTATTTATTTCACTTGCACCCTGAAAAATGAAACCATTTAATGGGAAAATGTAAAGCGAGCTCTTCATCTGATGAATATTTAAAATTTTTACACGAAAAAAAATTATTTCATCTCAAATGGAAAATGGAAATGAAAATGGAAAGGTTGTCTTCATTCACGCATTTATAGTTATAGTTTCAGGTGAGGTAGATAGTGGAAAAAAGAGAGGAATTGAATGATAAAATGAGATGTTTATACAGGCAATTAACTCCATCATGGTAATATTTGCAATGTAATACAAAAAAAATCTGTATTTATTTTTATAGCTTCTATATCAGACTGTTTTGAGGGAAAAGTTTATATTTTATATAGCTTCGTGGAAAAAGAGAGAATGAGGATATGAAACGTCTGTATGATGAAATAAAAATGCAATTTAGACATGGATGGATGTATGGAGAAAATAATGAAAGTTTTTGGTCTTGAGGGGATAAGGCGAATTTTTGAATACTTGGCATAACCAATTTGATTAAATTGACGCTCAGCTTTAGTTGAATCTAAATGACGATCAGCTTTAGATGAATCTAGATGACGCTCAGCTTTAGATGAATCTAGATGACGCTCAGCTTTAGATGAATCTAGATGACGCACAGCTTTAGATGAATCTAGATGATGCACAGCTTTAGATGAATCTAGATGATGCACAGCTTTAGATGAATCTAGATGACGCACAGCTTTAGATGAATCTAGGCGACGCTCAACTCTAGATGAATCTAGGCGACGCTCAGCTTTAGATGAATCTAAATGACGCTCAGCTTTAGTTGAATCTAAATGACGATCAGCTTTAGATGAATCTAGATGACGCTCAGCTTTAGATGAATCTAGATGACGCACAGCTTTAGATGAATCTGGATGACGCTCAGCTTTAGATGAATCTAGATGACGCTCAGCTTTAGATGAGTCTAGATAAAGCACAACTTTAGATGAATCAAGATGAAGCTCAGCTTTAGATGAATCAAGATGAAGCTCAGCTTTAGATGAATCTAGACGACGCACAGCCTTAGATGAATCTAGATGAAGCTCAGCTTTAGATAAATCTAGATGAAGCTAAGCTTTAGATGAATCTAGGCGACGCTCAGCTTTAGATGAATCTAGATGACGCTCAGCTTTAGACGAATCTAGATGACGCTCAGCTTTAGACGAATCTAGATGAAGCACAGCTTTAGATTAATCTGGATGACATACAGCTTTAGATGACGCTTAGACTCAATAAGGCTCAGCTCAAGACAGCCAATATTGTTCAGATGCAGTGATACTCAGCTGCAATAACATTCAACATTAATGACGCTCAGCTTTAATAAAATTCAGCTTAAATAATGTTCAGCTTCAATAACTTTCACTCTTAATAACACTCAGCTGCAGTAATGCTTAGTCTTAGTGACGCTCAGCTTTGAATGCCACTATAATAATATGCAAATTTTCATTTAAACAACTAATTTGAAAAGTTTTGTACAACAATTTCCAAGTGAAACTCCAAAAAAAGTAACTTCCACATCACGAAACTGCATCATTCGTCTCCATTCTTTCATTCAATCTCAGTGGATGAAGCTTTTTTTTAACACGAATCTACATGCACATACATTATGTAAATCTATTTCGCTGTTGATGCTGCATCATCTCTGATATCAATATGAACACAGATCATATTATATGAAAATAAAAATACGTGAAAGACGACGAACAAAAAAAAATGAGAGAATGAATCCATATGGATTTCATTTATTCATTTAAATTTATTTATTTATGAATTTTGATGCATTTATCCTTGCTTTATCTGTCAGTATGATGATGATAGTTCGGGATTTAGGGATGAAAATGGTTGAGGATGTTAACTTTTAGTAGAAATGAATTTTAACAGTCAAAAAATATTTGAATTTTAGAGTTTTTGGCGCCAAAACTGTTGAAAATCTCAAAAATGAACCCCACACAGTACATGAAAAGCAGACGACGCATGATGTGAGTTTATGATCCATTAAGAAACAAAGCATTAATATTATGATTATTATCATCCTGAGAGGTTTGTTTTATTGTCGCGACAAGGGTGCTGTTTCTCTAGAACACAAAAGAAAACGACATCTTTTTAATAACTGTATGAAAAAGCCATAATTCTTCCATTTGTTATTATTACATCTTGTTGTAATAATATTAATAATGTCGCTCTTGTTATCCATAGCATTATATGGTAACCATTACAATAAAACAAGGCACAATCCTACGGGAGACATTGTCATTTGTTCTGTGCGTAATGTAACATGAAAATGCCAGATATTTATGCTAAATATTTTCACGGAAATTTATTTTAATAGCACATTCAATGGTCCAAAAACTCTTTTGCTTGTTTTTTTTCCTATCCTCATTAAAATGTTGTGATTATAAGAACATCAGCTCAGGTATCAATGATTATTTATACAAATAGACACCACAATCCTCACTTGAGACTGAGATGAATGAACAATGTTTTGATTGTTTTCATTCTGAACGATTAAATTTCGTTTTTTTTTTTGTTGGCAATAATTTTGAGGAATCGCAGGTTGGTGTAATGCTTGGCGGTGTTGAAGAAAGTTTGCGATTTTTTGCGCTTTGTGGTTGTGCACTTTGAACTGATAGTGTCTGTCTGTGTGTGTGTCTGTCTGGCTATCTATCTACATCTTCCTTTGTTGGTCTAATTTGTTTTCGTTGCGTTTCTTACTAAGATTACTGTCTCTTGGTCCATATATATGTCCTTCTTGCTGTTATTCTATGCATCTTTTTGTCTGTCAGTCTGTACAACTGTTAACCCTTTCTTTTCTGCTTCTCAGAAGTCAAAGCCTTGTTAACCGAACCTTGCTGCACAACAGATTCAGCTGCCGCTCAGTCTATTTGTTCTTATGTTTGTCTGCCTTCAAGTTGAGATGCTAGAAGAATCTTTCAAATTTACCACAAAAATGAATTTTCTTAAGAAATTGAAGATCAAGTAAATATGCAAAGAAGAATTCACAAAAGCTTCAAACTGCTTCGCATAGCTCAACACCTTTTCAAACTGATTGAAAAGAAGAAAAGGTATCATTTCATTTTCATTCAGACTTTTTTCCTGTTCTTCTTCTTGGCAAACAATAACGAGAAACTTTTATTCCTATCTCTTATAACTGCACATGTATTTATTTGTCACGAAGAATATAACTTTTTTTTACTTCTTCATCTCCTAGAAAAAGTAGAAAAGTATCAAGAAAGGAAAGGAATAAAAAATAAAATAATCTTTGAGATCAAAATTTTGACACAGAAACAACAAACAAATAATGAATTGGGGGTGAAATGAAGAACAACATGAAGAAGTAGGAAAAAAAAGTTATAATCTGTGATGAAACCAGAAACTTTTGGCGAAGCCACAAGCAAGCAAAGGTTTCCATCTCCTTATTGGGGTCGTTTTTTTAGTGATGTTTAAAAATTTTTGGTTATTTGAGGGGCTTCTGGGTGTAGTTTTGGTATATTGAGTTTCTTAAAAAAGGTTTTTATTAATTTGGAAGATCTTTTCTGATTTGCAGGAATCTTTTATGTCTCAGAGGGGTCTAAACTGTCTCAAAGAGGTCTGAACTGTCTCAAAGGGGTCTGAACTGTCTCAAAGGGGTCTGAACTGTCTCAAAGGGGTCTGAACTGTCTCAAAGGAGTCTGAACTGTCTCAAAGGGATCTGAAATTTCTCAGAGAGGCTTAAACTCCTTCAGTCGAGAACTGGTTTGTCTAACAGGTGTCTAGACCGTCTCAAGGGTGTTTTAACTGTTTCAGATGGGACTTAAATGTAACAGAAGGGGGGCGATTCCATGAGTGAATTTTTTTTTCTCAACTCAATTTTTTGTAAATATTTCCTTAATTAACTTCATTTAACGCCATATTTAAGATTTATTTTATTTATTATTATGGTATTTATGTATTTTAGTGCATAATCTTTTAGTTAAATCTGTCTGACAAAAGATATTTTAAAAAACCAAACTTAATCGGTCAACTTTACAAAAAATTTATTTTTAAATTTTTATCAATATTTCTTTGAATATCCATTGTTGTGTTACAAATCTATGATAAACACACGTGAAATCGCCTGTGCTTTATAACAATATCTTATTTGTATGTCTTACTACTGTAATTAAGGAGAAAATTGGGGAAAACACCACTTAATCGGTCAACTTTCAACCGATTATTGCAAAACATATTACATATTTTTGTCAAAATGCAGCATAATTAAGACGATTAAATGCTAATAACACATGAATTGATGAATAATAAGTCTTATTTAGTGAAAAGATATGTTGAAATATGTATATTTAAGCAGAAAAAGCTAAAAAAGTTTTTGAACAAAAAATTTTCAGTTCCATTTACCCATGGAATCGCCCAGGGTCTAAAAATTTTCAGAGGGGTCTGAACTGTCTTAAGAGTGTAAACTATCGGAAGAAGGTCCTTAACTTTTTCAGAGGGGACTTGAATGTTACAGAAGGGTCTGAAATGTTGCAGAGGAATCGAAATTGTTTCAGAGGGGTCGAAATTGTTCCAGAGGGGTCTAAACTGTCTCAAGAGTCTAAACTGTCTCAAGAGTCTAAACTGTCGCAAGCGGGTCCTTAACTCTTCAGAGGGGACTTAAATGTTACAGAGGTGTCGAAATTGTTTCAGAGGGGTCAAAATTGTTGCAGGGGGTTCTGAACTGTCTCAAGAGTCTTAACTGTCGCAAGAGGGTCCTTAACTTTTTCAGAGGGATTTAAATATTACAGAAGGGTCTGAAATGTTGCAGAGGAGTCGAAATTGTTTCAGAGGGGTATGAACTGTTTAAGAGGGGTGTGAACTGTTTTAGAGGATTCTGAACTGTCTCAATAGAGTCTTAACTGTAAATTTATTTATTTTCCGAAAGCCATCATTTATGAACAACCCTTTATTGATGATTGTGCTTGTGTAAAGAGAGCACTTGGAAAATGAAATTAAGGAAGAAAAGAAAAAAAACATAAAAAAATGTGAAATTTGAGTAGGTTCATTAAAAACTTTGCTTTTTGGTTCACAACAAGGCAAAAAAAAATGTTGCCACAAAATGAAGAAAGACGAAGAAAATGAGATGAAAACTTTTTCTGATACTTTAATAGATCTCGAGTTTGCAGGAAGGTAGAAAGACAAAAGTTTCTTATTGCTCTGAAGCGTTATCAGTTCGACCAATTCATTTTGGATGTAAAAGTTTTTATTTAGGAATGGTGGGAAGGGAAAGGCTCGTAGTGATGAAGAAAAGTTTCTTCTATCTGATTAGTGTGCGATATCTGATATTGCCGGTGGCAAATTTTAGTTTATCTTAATTTATCTTATTTTTTGCACCCACACGAAAATTTATTGATAATGAAGAAGTGGAAGGGAAAGAGTAATGATGAAAGTTTAGGACAAGAAAAGGTTGATTGAGCATCGTTGTGGGCATTAGATTATTCAAGAGGATTGAAATGTCTAAAATTGCAGTTTTTGTTCCTCAATAGACTTCTCAAGAATGAAAAGTTCTTAGGTTAAGTTTTCTCAACACTGACAACATCCTGAAATAACAATTTTCTCAGCATCAGCACAAAGTCATTCAAAATGCCAAAAAAAAAAAATCATCTCAAAAATTTACTCATCCTATCCAAGTAGTATAATTCAGACTAAGTTCACATCACTATTTAAATAAATGAACATAATGAAATAAGAAGGAAGAAGAAAAATTTATATTTTTTCATCATTTCTGTTGTTCAAAGTCAGTGAAATGAGATGAATCCTAAAAAAAAGAGGAAAAAATCATTGAATAACTTTTATGCAGATGACAGCAGATTTTTGTCTTTTCAACAAGCTTCGCCCTCCTCTCATGAATGATTTTTTTTTTATGATTTTCCATGGAAAAGTTCAATGAATGCATGAATAAATATTAAAATTCTGTAGAGAGAATGGCAGGGGGAGAACAACTTGGTGGGTGGTTATTAAAATTTTTTAAACTTCAGGCTAAGACAGATGCTGTGGCTAAGTTAGACTGAGAAACCAGCACTTTTAAGTGGATATTAATTCCACTCTTTTTACTCCAAGTTGTTATCCCCCTGAGATGAAAAACTACAGAAAATGAAAAAAAAACTAACAGAGAATAAAAATTTGTGACTGTTTTGCATGAATTTGTTGTTTTGGCAAATAAGTGAATGACATTCTGCATAATCTTAATCTAACTGAAAGTCATTACGTCTGCAGAATTTTCATATTTTTTGATTATTTTTGTGAATATGAAATTTGTTTTCAAATGAATTATTTCTTTTGTTTAGATTCTTAATTCTCATTTAATAACAATTCTTATTGTGTCTAGGATTGCAGCTGTGATTTTAGCTGAATGAAAGTCTTTAGAATTGCTGCCTCAACTTGATTTGTTGATTCTTGAAGGATTTGACCGTAAAATTTAAGATGTAAGGTTCGTGAACTATTTAAGAATAATTTGAAAAGTCTGCATCACAAGCTTCATTCCTTCAACTTTAAAATTACAAGAATTCCTACAAAATCTCCTTTCTGAATTACAAAAAGCTTAAATTCCATTCAAAACAAAAAAATAACTTTTTCATCACTCAAAGAGCTTCTCATCCTTCTTTTTTTGAAATATTCAAAACTTTCAGAATCTTTTTCAAAAGGAATTATTTTCTCCTTTATTTCGGAGGTTTTGCATGGCGTCGACATAATTTATGCATAAATTATGCATAATTTATGCATAAATTGTGCATAAATACTGCATAATTTATGCATAAATTATGCAAAAAATTATGCATAAAATTCTGTAAAAGTTATGCATAAATTATGCAAAAAATTATGCATAAATTATGTAGATTATTTAATTTTATTACAATTCTTGAACATCAAATATTTTTAACTTTTATTTTTAACTAGACATCGTTGATAGCTTGGGTTTGTTTTATTAGCTCAGATTCATCGTATTGTTCCGGGGTCGGGCAATTAAAAGTCTTGAAAGAGTTTATTTATACTATAATTAATGATTGTTTTTGTTTTCAGTGTAACCTGTTGAAATTTTTTTCGACTACCTCTATAAATTCAAATTATTTATTGACCGTTAGAAAATTTGAATTCCAAAAAAACGTTAAATGATAAACCCTTTCTGTATGGAAATTCATTGGAACAAATTAATTAATTATACTATAGTTATTGTTTTTGAATTGCAACTTTTAGCGGGAAAATTTCAAATTATTTATTGACCGTTAAATAATAAAGCTTTTCTATATAACCATTCATTGTAATTATTTGTTAATTGCACTAAAATCAATGATCTTCTAATCTTCTAATGATCTGTAAATGAACGCAAAATAAATAGACAATCAAATGCTGATCGCTAACACAAAAATTCGCTTAAGTCCCTCGATCAATAACACGAGGACTTCTGTAATTTTTTAATATAAGATTTAATTAAATTAAACATAAGTAACCCAAAAGTAAAACCATGCTACGGACACTTCGAAAAATCCGTTATTTTTTGCTTCGAATTTCAAAAAACCGTTAAATTTTCATGAATATTTCTTGCAAACACTGGTAAAAACAAAGCTTCGGCAAACGATTCTTATTCTTAGCTTCGTGTTTAGCTAAGATTAGCTAAAATCATTCAAGAAAAATACTAAAAATTAAATATTAATGCTTAAAATCTTAAAATTGACAAATTTTTAACGGTTTTAAAATATTCAAACGCTAGGTCGACTAAATTTAAACATGTCGAAAAAATTCGAAACTGAAATGTCCGTAGCATGAGTAAAACCTATAACAAAAATGTTTCTCGATTTTGTAAATCACATAAATCCGATTATTCGAAAAAAAAAATCATTGAAAAATGAATAAAAGCGTGTAAAATGGTTGATTTCGAATAGAAATAAAGATGAGAAACTATGGGATACTTTGTCTGATTACTCAAGAAAATTAAACATGGGATGCACGTTTGAAGACTATTTAAGAAATTATTAGAAATGTCATTAAGACAGGATATCTATTACTTCAATAAAACAATAAAACATATCCTAACAGTCAAATGAGTATACTCATGGTACCATACCAAAGAGTTTATTTTGAACATACTCTTGAGCAAAACACGAGTATGGCGGAATCGACTTGACTCCATAGAAATTTTCATCGACTCTTGATTATGTTACGGTACCATGAATATACTCACTTGTCTGTTAGGGATGTTTACTTACTTTTCACGCTTTATAAAGCTGGATGCCTAAATTCATACTAAAGTTCTTGAAAATGTTTACTAGGATTCTCTTCTACACTCATAGAAAAAAAGTAACCATAATATTTGTTATATGTTTGTTAAACTAGTTTAACAAATTATTGGTTAAGTTTACATGGGTAAAAAAAATTTCAACCAAACTATTTGTTAAAAATTTTACAATTGAGTTTGTTAAATCAACAAATTTATTTGTTAATAATTGATTTAATTAAATTTTAATTTTTGTATTCAAAACTCTTGTTTGATTAATTTCAAACGATTCCCATTAATTTATTGCGTTATTTTTAATGAGAAAACTGCTTTAAATTGAATTTTGTTGATTTTGTTTAACAAATTAATTTGTTAATTTTAACAAAACATTTGTTACAATGTTTTTATTTGTAATTTGTTTTGGAAAATAATGATTTACAAACCAAATTGTAATTTAAAAATTAAATTTGTTCATTTTTTTAAGTCCTACATTTCTATTTTATTATTCATAAATTAATTTTAAAATTTGGATATATTTTTTAAAGAATTATTTATATTGGTTCTGAATCAAATTTTATAAGTAAAAGTTTACAAGCAGCGGACTAGCGGATCATCAACAGGAATTCAGAAGTTAAGCAACCACGGAAACATTTTAAAATAAGATGGGTGACCAAATTAACAATTTTCTGGTTAATATTAACCGAAAATTTGTTATTTTTTTCTGTAAAAAAAAATTTTAACAAAAAGTTTGTTAAATTAACAATTTTTATAGTTAACAATTCAACCTTACAAATAATTTGGTTAAATTTAACAAATAAGTTCGTAAACACTATTTTAACGAATTGTTTGTTAACATTTTCCATACAAGTTACAAACATTTTGTTACTTTTTTTCTATGAGTGTACAAATCACAAACATTTGGTTTGCATATCCATCAGGAATTAAGGCTGGCAAAAGCCAAAACAATAAATTAATTTTTATCTCAAAAATAATTACGCTAATACCTATAGAAACATTTCAATTTTATTAAAGTTTAACCAAGTGAGATAAATTTCTAATTTGATTTCGAGGGGCATACAAATACGCTTACGCTAACTATTAGTAGACCATTTAATTAGAGAATATTTAACTGATATGTAGGGTGACCATCTAATTTTTATGAAAATACAGGACATTTGATAAATTTCCTAAAAAATACAGGACACAAAGGAAAATTTGAAAATTAACGGAAATTTTCGTGAAAAAAATACAGGACTTGGAACAAAATTTTCAAATTTATACAGGACAGGGTTTTGAAATACAGGACTGTCCGTTGTAAAACTACGCAGATGGTCACCCTACTGATATGTAAGTTTTATGGTTGCACTTGAATGTTAAATTTTAACTAAAGAAATAAACAATTAAATCGACAAACAATCGAGTCACAGTATTTTCGAGTCCGGCATTACTGTGATATATGATCGATTTACTCCTTTTCTACTACTGTACTTTATAAGAAACTAACAAGCTTTAATTCAACAACGTTAAGTTACTAAGCTGGCCAAGACTATTCCGCATGAGTGTGCGCTGTACTTGTGTCTTATATAAACCATTTTGGTAACAGCACAAAAAGGACCATTTACCAACTGCTTATCGATTAAACATGGAGCTAACCCTTAAATTTTAACCATAACGTATAACTTATAATTTTATAGACAAGCCAGTAACTTAGTCTTTTTTGGTGTGATTTTTTGTCCTTATTTATACATAAATTATGCATAATTTATGCAGAATTTTTATGCATAATTTATGCATAATTTATGCAGAATTTTTATGCAGAATTTATGTATAATTTTTATGCATAATTTATGCATAATTTATGCATAAATTATGCATAAAAATTCTGCATAAATTATGCACAAATTCTGCATAAATTCTGCATAAATTATGCATAAATTGTGCATAATTGTGCATAAATTGTGCATAATTATGCATAAATTGTGCATAAATTATGCATAAATTATGCATAATTTATGTCGACGCCATGGAAGATAATCCTTTATTTCGTTTTAACTTCTTTTTTTTTTCATCGACGGAATAAGAAGCAACTTGATTTTGCTTGTACACTTTTATGGTATTAAAGTAAGAACTGCATTATCACGTAACACAAACTAGAAAAAATGAATAAAAAGTTTTCTTTATTGAAGAAAGAAAAAAATGGAAACGAAAAAGAAACTTTTTGTTAGATGAAAAAGCAAGTTTGAGGAATGAAAAGAAGTCACCCTTTGCAGGAAGTTGTGAATGTTTTTAAGGCTGCTGAGGGTTGAGTAGATTGATGACAACTCTTATTTTAGACATAAATCAAATCTATAAAGATTCAAATCTCAAAAAAGAATTTCAATTTTAGTAACTGAACTTGATCTGGTAGAGTTCAGTCATCATTAGGTTCAGTGCAGCCATAAGAGGAGGGTATGTATTGAAGCCACTATCAAAGTCGTTCAATAATAGCTTTTGTATTGACTTTGACTACCCTCGACTTCTTAGCTAATATTCCGATCGGCACACATTGAAATTCATTGAAGTTCATAGTTCAATTAGAACCAAGCGGCAGTCAATTGGAAATGGCTTCCTCTTGGTTCTAATTATACTACCAACCCAGCCGCTGGATTCAATGAATTTCAATATGTGCCGATCGGGATAATAGCTTAGAAGTCGAGGGTTGTCAAAGTCAATACAAAAGCTGTTATCGAATGACTTTGATAGTGGCTTCAATACATACCCTCCTTGGAAGCCATTTCCAACTAGCTGCCACTCGATTCTAATCATACTATCAACCCGGCAAACATCTCAATGCGTGCCGATCGGGTATACAACACATTTAAAAGCTACATCCGACACAAGACCATCTAATAGCAACCTACTCATTACAATTATGACCAGTTGAGTGCAAATCCGACACAAACGTCAGCAAGGATGTAAAAGA